GGCCCTGATGTGGGGTCGGCACGGCTTCTCTTGGAGGCCTGTGGTGTTCGCTCAGTGGATGAGTTCAAGGGCCTCTGATGGCCCGAGGGAGCCCTGGTTGCACAGTCGTTTTGCACTGGGCTGCGGTCTGCACGGTCAGCAGTTCAAAACCACCAGCCGCTCAGTGGGAGAAAGACAGAGCTTTCTATTCCCATCCAGAGTGACAGTCTGGGAAGCCCACAGGGACAGTTCTGCGCTGTCCTGTAGGGCCCCTATGAGTTAGTATCGAGTCGGAGTGGGTTACACAGCAGGCTGCTAACTGCCAGATCAGCAGTTCAGAACCACTAGCCTCTCTGGGGGAGAAAGAGGAGGCTTTCTGCTCCCGTGAGACATTGCTATCTCAGAGCCCATTCTTCCCTGTCCCAGAGGGCCACCAGGAGTTGGAATGGGCAGGATGTCGCCCGCCGCTACACCCCCCAAAGGGCTCCACGCTCAAGGTACACAGTCCTGTCTGGTTGAGCGAGACAATGACCTGGCTTCCAGGGGACGACGGGGACCCTCTGCTTGACACTCTTGGCAGGACGAGCCAACAACCCAAGGCCACTGTGTATCAGTGGCGGCATGTGGCACTGGTGGGGTGGGCACCAGGTGGACGGAGAGGGGGGTCTTGCTGGGTTCTTGGCTGGCCATGCTCAGAAACGGACCAGCGCCACTGGGTTCTGTCTGTCACACACGCTTAGCTCGCTGGCTGGCAAGCAGGACCGACCATCTTTGTCCTTGGGACCCCTTTTCCTTTCCATAGTCTTCCTTGTATCCGCTGGGATTTAATCGCTATGGCATTCCACACTTCAGCTGCGTCGAGTAAATGGTACACTTGCTCCCACTGTCCATTTCCAAACGTTCTTTTTCGACGTCCAGCATCTTTTCCACCTCGGTCTGCTGTGCCCGGGAGCCCCACGGCCAACGTGCCCGGGTGCTCCCACGCAGCCCAGACTCCCAGCCTTCGGAACGGCTGGCCCTGCCCCTGTGCCGTCAAGGCAGTTCAGGTGTTCCCAGGTTGTATTTGCTTTCCTGCACGAAAGGGTTGTATTTCGTGGGAAGATCCCCGTGGACGATGCCAGTTTGCCTAGACAGACTCATTAGCGCCTCACCAAGCAGGGTCACTTGCATGGTGCGCACAGCCCAGGGAAGCACCTGCACCTGTCGCTTCTCCTCCGTTCTTTTTCTTGTTGTGGGGAATGCACACTGCAGAGCCAGCACCAGCTCCGCCATGTCCCGATGCAAGATTGGCATGGGCGGCCTCCTTTCCCCCTTTGCCCCATGTCCCGATACAACACCGGCTCCTTCTTACCCACGCATGGGTTCCCAAGGAACCTCGGAGCTGCTGCAGTCGTGGACCCCACAGAGACGCAGCTCTGAGAGCACAGTGCTCCTGCAGTCCGCCTCTGGCAGTTGAGCTCACGTATGGCGGTGTTGAGGAGCCTGGTGGCCTAGGGGCTTACAAACTGGGCTGCTCCCTGCAAGGTCAGCAGTTCAAAACCACCAGCAGCTCCTCAGGAGAACGACGGGTTTTCTACTCCCATGAAGAGTTACAGTCTTGTTGCCTACAGATGGGCTTTGGGTCTCCACTTCTCACTGGACATCCCCCTACAGAAGGGCTGCAGGGAAGAGACCAGCCAGACAGGGTGCCATGTAGCAACGATGAAACATA